TCCACAGGAAATCATGAGACAAATTTACTCATCGTTGAGTTCCTACACTTTTGGCGATTATGAGTGAACTAAACTCAAATTTGGGTCGTTCTCATTCGCCGTGTACGCAAAAAGAAAATAGCCAGTGTCACTACTTGATAGCAAACTACTCATAATGGGAGGAGTCTTTGTAGCTTTTATACCACTTGGTTGCACATCATTCTGCTTTAACCTAAAAAGATATAAAGCAGCGCTGCTGTCTGGTATCAGCTCATTTTCGCTTCGGACGGCGTGGTCAGCAATAGCAGCAGTAGAAAGGTGGCTAGTCCACTTTTCTATAACCAACAAGCAACAATTGACTAGTCGTGGCAAAGGAGGTGCTAATCGTCATCGCAAATTCTTCGTGATAACCACCATCCGTCGTCTGGCTCGCCGTGGCAGTGTCTGACGTATCTCCGGTCTGATCTACGAGGTGTGCTGAAGGTGTTCATGGAAAATGAGGTCCGTGATGCTGTCACCTACACTAAACACGCCAAGCGTAAGTGGCCATGGATGTCCTCTTCAATAAAACGGCCCTTTTAAGGGCCATCAAGCTTACATCTGTAAAGATTTGCAACATAATTTATCTGTGCTTGTTTGTCCATATTCATAACCACAAGCCCCCAACGACCACAAAAACTTGGGAGCAGGGGTGCAAGTGATTTTGATTGATTCTCGTAATCAACTTTCGTTTTGAAAAAGATTACTACAAATTGGTACCCCTACAATTCAAAAACGGGAAGAGTTGAGATAATAGATATTTGATCAATTAAAAGAACTTAATGCTCTTCACATTTATTCCGTCCACTAGCGGTCCTACGTCAAGCTTCCGTTCGTGCCCCTAGGCACAGACCCTTCTACTTTTTATATATGTTTTGATGTGTGTTAAACGCTGTACAGACTGGAGAGTTATAACATTTTATAACGGTTGTCAAATAATTGCAACACAGAAACCACCATCAAGATAGCGCTATAACATGTTATAACTCTGTAGTCTGAATGTAAGTACGTATAGTACTATTACGGTTATGGTGATCCCTATAGGGTTTTTTCATGGTGTTTATTTGGGAGGCTCAATCAGTGGCATGCACAAGAGGTGGCCAGGGGACCATGACACCCCCCTCCCCCCAATAATGTGTGTTTCATACCCCATGCGCCCTCCTGATGCTCCTCATGCTAAACCTTAACTGCGGTTGGGGATGTAAGATTCGCTTAAAATTATGTGGGATTCATCATCAGAGGATGTTAGTAGAGACCGCATGAACCGAGAGGATGCGATATACCTAGCTGCTGTCTAATGAAGAAAATTGGAAAGAAAAATGTGGAGTGTATTAGTGAGTGAAATTAAATATGTTGAAAAAAAAAATAAGAAAAAGGTTGCCGACTGGACTCGAACCACGAGAACGTTGCTATTATCAGAACTGTGCTTTCTCCACTGCTCTTTCCATGCTTCTGAATGTGGATATTCTAAAAGCAATCACAAAGCGTTCATTTCCTCTCATACTCGACTTGGTATGCTTTTTCTGCTGGAGAGATTCGAGGCAAGTGTGTGCGTCGTTCTACAATGTTATAAATAAAAAGCTTACTGGTATAGTCGAAAGCATAGATAGAACACGAAATAAGAAAAAAAAAAAACAAAAAATCATTACATCGCCTGCAAGGTCAACTTCTAACATTCGCTGCGATGTTCATGAACAGAGGATGATATGAAATGGAACTAACATTCATAAATTTCATCTATCACCGATTGCAAATGAGTTCGTGGGGCAATACTAGTCAGAACTTCGCTATTCGGCAAGTTTTGGCGTCAAGGCGACGATACATCGAATGATGTGCGTTGTCCGAATTTCGGGGACACTATCAAGTCCTTCCGAATATTGAAGAGGGTTACGGAAAGGTGATGGGTTTTCGTGTCTGCTGTTTAATATCGCTTTGGAAGGTGTGATCCGAAGATTGGTGATAGACAGGAGTGGTATGATTTTCAAGAAGACAACCCAGCTTCTTGGCTTTGCCGATGACATTGACATCATGACACGGAACTTTGAAATGATGGCGAAAACGTACTTCAGACTAAAGTCTGAAGACTATCGGATTGGACTCGTCATTAATGCATCGAAAATAAAATCAATGGCAGAAAGGCGTTCAAGAGAAGATAATGTTAGGCCACTACGAGTTCGGATTGATGGTGATGAAATAGAGGTGGTAAACGAGTTCATTTATCTGGACTTACAGGTGACCAGCAGAGGAATCCAAACATGCATTATGGCATGGAATCGTGCTTACTTTGGACTCCGAAGGACGCTCCGGTCGAATTAAAGTTCGCCGCACCACGAAGTGGACTATCTACAAAACGCCGAGGACCGATAGTCCTCTACGGCCACAAGAAATGGAATATGCTTGTGGAAGACCACGTGGTGTTTTTGAATGGAAGGTGTTGCGTACCACCTATGCATAGCTATGATGGAGTGTAGATGAAAGACGGAACATGGAGGAGGCAAATGAACCGTGAATTGCACCAGTTTCTGAGAGAACCAGTCATTGTCCACACCGCAAAAATCTGGCGAGTACGGTGGGCTAGTCATAGTGAAAATGGTTCTCCACAACGACCCGATTGAAACAAGATTGTGAGGTGGACTGCGATCAAGGTGAAAGACGACCTTCGGAGCCACTGCAAACAGCGTGGCTTTCGACATACAGTCATAGATCGTGTGGAGTGGATACGACTTCTATGTGCAGCAAAGGACAACCATGGTAAATAGTAAGGTAAGTAACCGAATGTGAATGGTGAATGGTAAGGTATGTAACCGAAGCAGAATTTACCAAAAACTAAACAATCTGCTCGGCACAACTTTCAATAGCCTTGCAGGCAGCTACAAAACTAGGAGCTAAATGCTTCTAGCTTGATTGATAGTAAAATAGCCGATAAATAGTGAAAAGTAACAAAATTCACCTAGCAGTGAGCTTCGTGACTGAGTGACTTCGGAGATTCCTGTGGCTTGATTTTTAAAGCAGACTGTAAGTTAAGACTGTAAGATTTAAGTTTTGAGTTTAAGGAAATAGAGATTTTGCAGGGAATGCCATCGGAGCAGTTCCACACCAAATAACGATTCGAAAAAATCGGCCTTCTCCAACTTGCATAAAACTTTGCATAATTGAGTGTTATGGACAATCATTAAAATTTTTATAAAAATTCAGCCATTTTGGATGCTGTAGCTGACCGAAATGACGGTTGAGACAAAGTTGTAGAGAAAATAAAGTCTTTCTGGGAAAAATATCCACGGTATTTTTTTGCAATTTTGAGAAAAATTATTCAATATTTCAAGAGTTTATCTTCAATTTTTATTTAAAAAAAAAAAGTTCATACAAAATGCAACCGTTTGGAATACGTTTGAAAATTGCTAAAAATTGTTGAACAAGAACTTTTGGTAATATTTTTAAACTTCTTTTTAACTACCTTTTATGTATTGTTTGCACAGATAGTGCTACAATACATTGAAAAATGTCAAAGAAGCCATTTGAAAAAAAATTACAAGATCCAAAATGGCCGAATTTTTGAAAAACTGTGAATTATTGCCCATCACACATAACTAAGCAAATCGAAGAAGGCCGAGCCTTAATTTTTTTTTTTTCCTTTTTGGTCTGGAGCTGGTCACCAGTCAAACTATATTTTCCTATCTTCATGCTTTTATGAGCAGTAGGATTGTATCGTTCCTATTTTGTAAAAACACAACCCTCCATTAAAGTATAACAGAGTGTACACTTTAAAACTATCGAATCAAAGTTTCAAAACCCCCACTCTCTAGCTTGTAAAACTTTTGTACCATCACATCTCACTGAAACTTTGCTCTTCAACTCATTACTTACAAGCCACATAAGATATAGGTACCGATATATCTATCCAATGATGGAGCAAGAGAGTCGTTATTTATTGAGAATCTCTTTTGTGCTGTTCTCGCTTCCTGCACCTATAGCATTGTTTCTATCACAAAAACCGTCGTAAAATTGTATCTATGTATCTCTAAAAAATAATCGATCTCACCGATCGTTCGATTCCTGAGTGTTCCAGACACAATCCATTATTTTCGTCTGATTTAAATAAAGTTTTTCTTAACTTGTAAGCTTCTGAACATTTGCAACAATTACATTGACGATATTGACCACGTGAAAATTGGCTTCTACACATAGAGGGAGTTATCTTCAGCACTGTTATGCTGGGTAAAGGGTTGCTATAAAAACATCACAGATCATCTCTTCATGCGATGTTTTCCAGCAAGAGCATATTCAGAGAGATTTCCCCTTCGAACAGAATAACACTACCACATGTACCGATAGCGACCAATGACCGCTCGGTAGGTGGTGGCATCTGTGTTCCTTCGCTTTGTCTCGCTTCACTGAAGCGTTTCCTTTCCCTTTCGAAGCTCGCTTGTCGCTCGTTTATTCATGCGCACTGAGACAGAGGAGACACTCTGAGCAGAAATGATTCCCCTGATTGGGGTGGTGTAGTTATCCTTATCGATTTTCTACCTTCTACTTTACCAACCACGGGAGGCTCCATTCCTGCCGCGCTTTCCCCCGCCGGAACGCTGGATGGTGCCACTGGGTAGTGTGGTTTGGTTGATTCTTCTTTCTGGTGAATGCTGAGAAATGGTATCGATCGGAACACATGTGACACCCGACCGGCCGCCGTCGACGTCGTAACAGATTGCGCGTTTTTGTATTTGTATCCGTGCATATGCGACCCTCTTTATGCTTCCATCATCCACAGTTTCTCCCTCCTCTCCATTTGTCGTTGCTTCCTACAATCGCATCATGGAATCGATGCACATGTTGGCAGGTCGTTCCTTCTCTCTTACTGCTGTGAATGTTGACATTCCTTGATTTCACATATCCATACCCTAGTTTTTATTATTCTTTTATTCGTTCCATGACGACTTGCATAGTTGGGATTTCGTTTGCAGAAGAGCCACATGCGGATTGTCGCTCGTAGCGTTCAGACGTGATTCTCGCGCGCGCGTTCTCGACGCCTCGCCCGGCTAGTGCATCGTGAGTGATAGTTGTTTTTGCCTGCGATCTCGTTCAATGGAAAACGACGAAAACTGAGGATTACAGTGGTACCATTTGGATGCGAACCCAAGAGATACTGCGAAGGAAATAATGTGCTAATAGTGAGTGAAAGCAACACTGTTACAAAAGTGTTTACTAGTGAGAAAGTAGCTCGGAAAAGGAAATAAGGTTATTTCCAAGCTAAACATAAAATGTTGGAGTTCTATCATAACCTGAACCTCAATTCTGGAATAGTACAGGGTCTCACGGTGGAATCAAATTTGCAGGATGGTACAGCGGATAGTAATGAACGAACAGGTAATCGATACTACGAATACATTCATTTCAGTGCAATTGATGAAAATAGGATTAGTTCAGTTGGTAGTTGGATTGTTGACGTGAATCGTAATAGGAATTATTTAAAAACGGAGTTGACGCAGTAAAAATACAGTGTACATTTTGTGTAAATTTTGATCACAAAAAATCACGAAATGCCGGCTGGTATCTGTCTCTACCTGTCTTTTGCGAGCATTCATCTGCTCTCAACTTAGTGTTCTTTAAAGCACTTCCACAGTTTTCAATTTTTATCAGTTCACCAAAACTCACTATGACTCGCGAACTTTTCCTTTGTTGAACCTCGTGATCTATAGCGAACTTTTCCAACACAGCTTGCTATGCCAACCAATGCATGAATCTATATATTGTGTGGTAAGCACAATGATGCACTATTCTTCAGAACACGACATGTACATATTTGATCTTTGAAAACAACACGACATGTACATATTTGATCTTTGAAAACAACGCGAATGAAAAAAGAGACTGCATCAAGATCTGTCATGATAACTTGAGTTTTGTCAAAAAAACGTAAATATTTACGCGGTGTGCAACGAAGAATGCCCATAGAAGTCGAGAACGAACCGGGAATCAAACCCGCCGTCTCCAGCTTGGTACCCATAATAAAAATAACCACAAGAAAGAGTTTAGGGAATACCGTTCCTTAACCTACTAGGCTATTTGAGGCCGGCTGGTATAAATCTATTAACTCTTCGAGCACCACACTAAAAATGACACCAAAATTTTTCAAAAAGATGTATCTCGGATTCTATGCATCCATTTTCTAATGTTCTATACCGTTGAAAAGGTTATTTCCTCAACTTTTCATTAATATGTTGGTCACACTACCTGTTTTTGTCATTGCAAAAACCAGATTATTATTTTTAACCAAAATTTTCCAAAGGCCAGTACTCCTTCAGGAGTGCAATTAAAAATGTGATCATGTAGCAATCTACTAGATATTTTTATAAAACTATCATGGAAAAATATGCTAGAAAAATCAATCAAGTTTCAACTTGTCTACCGAATCAACAAAAAATTGAAAATCAAAAACTAAATTAACAGCTGAAGCAAGCACCATGTGACATGACGAATTGAATCATAAGACAGAAGAACTAATATATTCTAAATAAAAACATCTGAAATCTGTTTAAAATAACCGAAGATATTACAAAAGTAGTGAACTTTTTGAATTTTTTTTTTTTTCTTGCTCAAAGAGTTAAAACCCGAAGTAATCCACCTTTGGTGAGATCTGACCCTGATTAATAGAAATTCCGACAAAAGTGCTGTGATGATGTGATATAACCAGTGTTCAGAAAACTCAAACCTCATGCGTGAGTTTATTCGCCTATGAGTTTTGTCCTGCAAAATTCAACAGCGCAAAAATCACCGCTAAGTTTTCATGGTAAAAAATTCATTGCTTTATGTTTTGGTGTTATTCATTGTTACTACTGTTGTTTTTGTATCAGTGGATGAAAAACTAACAGATCATGCATGAGCATGCTATCAATTGACGTTGGAGTGGTTTTTATGAGTTTCAAGCTGTAATGATTTTTTAGCGATGTGAGTGTGAGTGAATGAAAATGCATGATGATGATGATGATGATGGTCCCACTCACATCTAAAAAGGTTTGAGCTGGACGATTTATCTTTAAAATAATTAAATATGACATTTTAACCATGTAAGCAAACAAAATCGAACTGGTTACAGTTACAGATATAAATTCCCTCTAGAGTTTACAGTTGCTTCGCAGCCATATAAATGTGGAAAATCTCAGGCGTCCACCTCTTAGTTCGCCTTTTTGTCTACCTAAAATATTCATAAGTATTACAAGCGATCAAGAGTTAATGAACAATCAACAAAGCGTCCTATACACTAGTAACCCCGCAATCTGATGCTATCATAATTTTCAGCAATGCTCATCCCAAGTAACAATCTAAATGCTTGGAAGATTTATTCTTATTTTATCATTGTTTTATCATAGCATCCCTTCCAGCCTGTGGTTGTATTACGGTTTTGTGTGCTTGTCATAAAATCAGGCCGTCAAGTCGTCTATAAAACTGTTTTATGACTACTAAATTAAAACTCAGACTTCATAGTTTTAACGGTAGCTGTAAGGTGGTTATTATTAACTAGTTCGTTTATTTACTAGGCTCAGTCGTGTGTGACACTTTGCGGAGCCAAAATCAGTAATGTTTGATTTACATTTTAAATAGCAGTATTTCTAGGTTAGTATTGGGTACCAATTACTCGTGGCGGGCTCGAGGTTAATGGGTAACAATTTCAATTGGAAGGATCTAGGTAGGAAACTGGTTTCTGAAGCCTCCTTCAGATACTACTCTCGGACGGTTGACCAAATCCTGACTGGGCAGGGGCAAGTAGCACAGGAACAGGAGGATAATAAGACTGGGACACAATGGCGGGATATTGTTAGGAAAGGAGGGGATAGTCACATCAAACTCTAACATCAGACAAACAAAGGAATTCGTAGATCGCTTGCATGTAGAATAAAACCTCAATAAAATATTTCTCAATATTAACTATCATCCAAAAACCCCAACTTAAAACCTTCAAAGTTGTCAAAATGTTTTGCGTATCATGTTTTATCAACTTCTTCAGGAGCGATTTATGCGGTTGTAATATAGTTTTATGGTAGTCATTAGAAGGCTGTTAAAACTTTCTGACCTGGAGGAGGTTTTATGTTTTCATTTTTAACAATCACGTCTAGAGTGTGATAAAACTGACATAAATCCTATGCTCCTAAAGTAGTTCGCATATCAAGTTTTAATGACTGCATTAAAACTAGGCCAATTGGCGGTTCTCAGGAGATTGTTAAAGCAATGTGGTCGTCAGTGGAGGTTTTATAATTTGGTTATATCAACTGCTATAAAACTTAAATAAAACAAAAATTGTTGCTTGGGATGAACCCCCGACATTTGCCAGAAAACTTACTACTAACTCAAGGTATCTTCGAAATAAGCATCGGTGTTCGGTAATTTTTTACTGGGTTTTTGAACAGCTGAAAAAGTCAGTAAACTTAAAAAAATTGTAAAAAATTGTATAAAAGTGATTTTTTCTTGAAATTTATACAGACTGTGTTTTTATTACATTTATTTGATGATAAAAATAAAATATGTTAAAATTGTTCGTTGCATTACGTGTGACCGTTATTTTCAGTTTACTGACTTTTTCAGCTGTTTGAAAACCCAGTAAAAAATTACTAACCCCAGTAAAATAATCTCTGTGTGTATATCTGTAATACACGCACGAGGCTCAAATTTTTGTAGACATTGTTTTTATCTTGTACTATTAAATCAAATATTAAAACTTTATCATCACCATCGTGGCGAACAAAAATAGTTTTTGTAGTGCTACAATAATTATTAAAAAGTCATTATGACAGCTATCCATAAAAAAAACTGTTAGAGATAACTTCGTCACGATACACAATTTGTTAATTCACAAAACAAAATCACTAGATAACTGTTCAAAAGGCAGTTTTAACGTGTGAAATGCATTGTCTTTTAAATTCTGTAAGTGTTGCTGAACGTTTGATATGTCTAGGCATCGAATTGAAATCATTTATTCCTTTAAAATATAATGAACTTTGTAAAGCACAAGTCAAGAAATGTGGTGTTCTTATTTTAAACGCGAAAATCTCAAGTGTAAGGTTTGTTTGCAATATTGGCACGAAAGTTTATTCTTTCAAGAAGGCTCAATGAGGTTTGAAAATGATTTTCCAAATCCAGTATATAACAGATGAATTCTCAAGTGATATGAGGTATCGCACGATGATTTGGACCCTAGTTAGAAACTGACCACTTCCCCAGGATTACCTAGAACATGCTCGGATGCAGCCATTATGGTCCTGGGCACATCAAATGACTACCATTGAACTGCTTTTCGAATTATCATGTCATTTTATGTGTCACATGATGGGTTTTATTCGTTACAGGTCAGATTTATTCTCATGGCCCATACAAACTGGAACAGAATGACCGATTCAAAATTTATTTAAAAAATGTTATCTTCCATTTAATTCCACTTAATTAATTTTGGTATCCATGATAGATACTTATTTCGACTACAACGTGCAGTCCTCATCAAAGTCTAATCCTCTTAAGTACCCCTTGGTAAAAATGTCAAGATCACAGGTATAAAAATTTCATTACCTTATTATGATGGCTACCAAGCTTTTTGGTATTTTTCATAATAGAGAGTTGTATAGATGTTTCTCCTTTACTTTACTTAAATCTTTGTTTATTAAAAGTTAGATAGGTTCCGATTCTACACGTTGTAGTTTCATTTTTGTACCTGTGATATTCACATTTTTACCTAGGTAATGAGTACTTAAGGGGTTCGATTCTTAAGTGGGAAGGGGTTGGAAGACTCTAGTGGGAATGAACGTATCTGTCATATGGGTGTTGGAAAATCATTTACATTCATTTCGTGCATTCATTTACATTCATTTGCCTCTAACTTTTTTCATCAACAGAATAAAGTAAAATGATGTATAAAGCATTTGTAGTATTTGATATGAACTACAACTTTTGCTTGTAAATAAAATCTGGATCTCTTATGAAATAGAACTGGCAGAACATGTTATTGATTTTCAGTGAATGCAATTTACATTCACTGAAAAACAATGGTGGGTTCTTATCGCTCTGATTAATCATGCATAAGAGATACAGATTTGAGTTGTTGACAAAAGATGTAGCTAGTATTAAAACCTACAAAACCTTCAAACAATATTTTACGGAATTCTGTTGATGAAAAAAGTTAGAGGCAAATGAATGTAAATGAATGCACGAAATGAATGTAAATGATTTTCCATCCCTGGTCATAGATACCAACATTAATTAAATGGAATTGAATGAAATAATAACCTTTTCTGCTGTTTTATTTAAGCAAAGTTTGTCCTATTCCAAAGATATTCAAAAGCGTTATATGGGACCATTATATCTTTCATTTGGAGGTTATT